AACGACCATCGATTGACAAGACAGACATTAGACTGGGTTACAAAAGAGAGTAAACCTCCCTAGGAAGATACGGTTATCGACGGCAAGACGAGCTGAAAAATTGCGCAGAAGCAAGATGGACGAAAATGACAAAAAGTTAGTGTATGGCAATATCTTGGCTAGGCGTTCATTCAGCAGTGAATCCACGGAGAATGTCGGTGATGATGAAAGTATATCATTTAGCCATGGGAAACCTATGAACAAGTTTCGTTGAAAGCCTTCTTAAAGAGGATCAGTGGACAGGACAACAAAGAAATGCTAAAGGCCTCAAATAAAAGGGGCATGATTCACTTAAAAGCTAATTCAAAATTCAATGACCTAATCCTCTGCACATGGATAATGTGAGGTAAATTAGCCTCGTCCCCATTCATTGCATAGAAACTTTTTCAATGTCAATAAATCCAGCCATTTTTCTAAAGAAAGCTTAGCTTCTACCGGAAACTGTGGAAGGAGATATCGATTCGTTGCCGACTTGAAGTCCAATTACTGACCCTCTTTCTCCATCAATGGCTCGGGGCAACAGTTCAACAACGATTATGCAATTTCCTTTACTCTCTGACTCGTTTCGATGCCGAATACCAGCGGCGTCATTAGGGTTATGTGACGCAGATGAAATGGCACAAAATTATGAAGTGCGTTTTGAATGACAGCAACACTTATTCCACTGCTAATTCCGGACTTGCTTGCCGATGATATTCCAGCTGTCACTCAAACTCTGCGAACTAGTGCACTCGTTTCACAGACGGCTTTTGTTAACCAGCACGATTCTTTGATTAACTGTCCAACGTTTGCATGTCATCACCAACGGAAATGACAGTCGTCGGACTAAAGGACTGCCCCAAGGAGGAAACGTGTGAGACGATGCCATAATGCTTGACATAAAGCTCCGTTTACCCATTGCTCAAAGTTGCGAGATGATCTGCAATCATTGCACCCATCATTCTTATAGTCTTCGCAATTCACATGTCACGGTCTTGTTTCACTCCGGTCGATGAAACTTCCGGTATATCTGTGATCGAAATGAACCGCCTATTTTTTAGTAAAGCCGAAACCCTTCAGCAG